CGGTTATGACCTCAAGTAAAAAACCGCGCCGTCAATGAGTTTCCAAGGTTTGATCTTAAAATCTCTAACTCTAGCTAGCCCTACTCTTTGTAATTTTTGATTTTACAGAGAACAAAGTGTCCGAACAAAAGAAAGGATCCAAACAAAAACTTTTAAAAGATTGGTTTTGTTTTGTCTTAAACTGTTTTGACTCTGATTTTACACTTCAACTTTTGCTTATCTTTAGGTGTTTTGAATCATCTAGCTTGATCGTTCAAACTAATAGTGACTTTTGACGCACTTATTAGTTATGGGTCATGCCATGATTTGGGTGTTGATTCCAAAAGGTTGTGTATGCACTTGCTCAATGTTTGAAAGTGATTGCTTATGTTGGTGAGACTCTAGAGCATCGTTAGATTGGTTCGACCCGAGATATTTGGAAGCACACAATAAAGCATTTAATGATACCCATAATGTCAAGATCTTTATCTCTTTTTGCAAACGTTTTTTGTTTTGTTCCTTCTTCCATACTGATGACCGACCTATTGTGATGATAAAAACTCTTCCTATGACTTGCTTAACTAGTTTAGTTTGGTGCAGTACTTGGTGTTCTCTTATTTCACTATGCTTCTTTTGTGAGGAGTTCTCTCTTATTTAAGCAAGTGGAGAGGTAAAGCGGAGATGATGAAGACAAACAGGAATGACCATGTCTTTCATATTTTTGAGCCCGATTGTGAGTAAGCTATGGAGATGCTACGATGCTTGGATTTTTTCATAAACCAAGTTGAGACTTGATGGTTTCTTAAAATTTGTGTTTTGGGTTTTGATTTATTTCGCACAAATTTTCTTTGATTTGGTTGTGTAAGTGTATGTACTATGTTTCCTCCAATTGCTCCATTTTAGTACCAAGATCAAGACAAACATTTTGTGTTGATTGCCTTGAACACCCTCCTCATTATTTAACAAGAGAGAACTATAATCTCTACTCTAAGCCATATTTTACCATAACTCGAGTTCTTTCCTTGATTTTCTTGATTAATATTTCTCACATACATTAATATAGACTTGAATTTGAGAAACATCAAAGCATTTTTAAATTATCTTTTTTTTTTGGGTCAACTATCTTATTAATATAGTGATTCCGAAAGGACCCTACTATAATCTGTGGATCATATATAATAAGATATTCAACGGCGTGTTTGTCACATGTATGTGTAACTTGTCAACCAAAATACTTCAGTTACCGTAGAAGCCAAATATTAATTGCAAGCATTATTAAGAATTTGTTGGTTACTTAAAACATGTTCGTTGAAATAAACGGTGAACAATTATAATTTGACTTCCATTAAAAGTTTGTTGAACCCCAATCAGTATAAACTAACTAAAACTAACCAGAATTGACAAAATNAACTGAANTATCCACAATTTTACCCAAAANTTTTTACTAAAANTCAAATCGAGTTNGTACTTTAGTTTTTATTCGGCAACATTACATACGAACCAAAATTTTCNATAATCGAACTGAACCGAATCATAGTTTTATTCGGTTAGTTTCAGTTAGTTTCAACAAAATATTTCCAAAGTGAACAAAAAAAATACAAAAGATCGACAAAGCGAATCAAAGCAATCATAACAAACACAATATGTCTAAACCATTGAGTTATCATAAACCACATCGTTAATTTGTAATCTTTGACTTCTTTTTTTGTTTTTTTTATATAATGAAAAATACCTATGGTGAAGATCTACTAGGTATATTCGTAATATATATTTTAAATTTTGTCATATGCATTTGAAATCATATAAAATACTGTAAACTTTTTCATGTGGCGATGGTTTAAAGCATATCAGATTTTGACATAAAAATAATGTTTTTGATTCGTTTCGAGTTGAAAGTGGTAGATCCATGAAATCAAAACAATAGTTAGACAAGCACGGGAGATAGATGGTACCACACAACTTCTTGAGAAGAAAAATCCTCACCCGTTCCCAATCAATGTCTAAATCAAATTTTTAATTTAACAATGAAAAGAATAAATAAATATTGATTTCTAAAATTTGATCTAAAATTTTATTAATAAATTAAAAATTATTAATATGGTATAAGTGGCATCATGTTTCTAATTTGTAATAGTTTACATGTTGTGACAACCTAAAACGCTCATAGTGAAATGATTAGTTATATCCGTACGAAAAATACATTAGACATGTGTCTACTTTAGTTGTATGATTTTAGTTTCAATTTAGATTAAAAAAATACCTATTTAAAAACTTAAATCATATTTTAATGACTAACAGTTTTGTAATAATAAATTATTAACAAAAACTAATTCTCGTGCAAGGCGCGGGTACTGGACTAGTTAGATAAATACTTAGAGCATATTTTTAAGAATTGCCCTCTAAACAATTACACTCGATTGTTTTAGCAAAAACAAAACAATTACACTCGATTATTCTCTAAAAATATGGTACTCGAATCCCAATCTAATCTACCATTAACCGTGACACCACCGACAAGAAGAAGATAGATCGAGAGAGAGACTCATTGTTTTGTGACAACGTGACAACATTTGTTGAAGGGATGACGAAGATGTCCGATCTTCCGGAAAATTTGGTAGGGAAGACACTCTCTAACGTTCCAATGGCACCTCTTAGATTGGTGCGATCTACTTGCAAGAAATGGAACGATTTATCCAAAAACCGTACTTTTGGTAAACAAATTAATAAGGAGTTTGTAGGTTTCATGATGAAGGATTTTAGGGTTTGTTCCTTAAGATTTAATCTTCAAGGAATCCGAAACGAAGGAGTATTGGTTGATCCATCTATAAAGCAAGTAAGTATACTTAACCACGTCGAGATATATAAAATCTTTCACTGTGACGGCTTATTGCTATGCGTCACCAAGGACAAGTCGACTCTCGTGGTGTGGAATCCTTATTTAGGACAAACAAGGTGGATCCAACCAAGAACCAGTTTCCATAAATTAGACTATATGCTTTCGGTTATGACGACAACAACTCTAACCATAACCAC